GAAGTCCCACCTTCAAATATTTAAAAGGTTGCCACAGGGCAGACGGAGCAAGCTTTTCTCTAGCTCTGAAGGGTAGGACCTGAACCAATGGATTCAAGCTACAAGAAAGGAGATTCAGACTAAATACCAGAAGAACTTTCAGATAATAATAGCTGTTGAACAGTGGAAAAGGCTTCTTTGGAAGGTGGTGGGGTCTTCTTCATTTGAGGTTTTTAAGCAGAGGTTGAATGGTCATCTGTCATAGATGCTTTATATGAGACTCCTGCCATGCAAGGGGTTGGACTAGATGACCCTCAGGGTCCCTTCCAACTCTAGAGTTGGAATTCTCTGACTCTATGATGTCTTTCTTTTAAGCTAGTTTCCCCCTCAAGAAATGGTTTATGAATGGCTTACATTTTGCTCCACAGGTAGCCTCATTACATGCTGTAAGAATTCCCATGACTTTAATATATGATTAAATACAAATTAAAAATAGTTATGCTTCCACTTATAGAGGACCTCTTTTTATTTGATATATTTTATAGCTTTTGCTATTTCCATATTTTATCAAACAGGCATCAGTAGGATATTTTCCATACAGTACTTTGGAAAATGTTTATTATGCATATGATTCATAGTGAAACAATATTTCTCCCTCAAAACCAGAGTACTTTTCTCTTTTACAAGAGATGTGTATGTATGTGCCAAAATAAATATCAAGACTTTTGAGTTACACAGAACAGTTTTCTGGGAGAATACAGTGGAAGGATAGCTAGTTTCAAGGATATTTAGAGGACAGCTAGTTACATTTTATTACATTTGCATTCAAGGGTGGTCTATAAAAGTATTTAGCATTCAAACAGCAAATATTAATCAACAGGGTATATTTATTTGGAACCAATTTGTCAACCACTGTCTAGCTTAGATACATAAAAGGAAAAAGAAAAGTTGAGGAAAAGCTACAGCATGCCATTAGGAGGATCAACAGGGAGCCTGGAGATTACTTAAAAGTAACTGGAACAGAGGCTCAAATTAGATGTACGACACAGACTGAAAAATTGCAAAAAAAAAGGGAGAGGCCAAAAGCATCTACTCATGATTTATTAGAGTTGGGGTGCTTCCCAATCCAGATTTAAATCATTTAAATTGGAACCAGTGAGGGCGGTGAATGCCCTATGTGAGTGTCTGGAGGCAGTTGGAGGATAGATGGCAGCTAACAGATATATATTGAATCCTGACAAGACAGAAGTATTGTTTCTGGGGAACATGGGGTGGGCAGGTGTGGAGAATTCCCTAGTCCTGAATGGGGTAACTGTGCCCCTAAAGGACCAGGTATGCAGGCTGGGGGTCATTTTAGACTCACAGCTGTCCATGGAGGCACAGGTTAATTCTGTGTCCAGGAGCGCTGGCTAACATCTGGTATGCAGGCTGAAATCCTACCTGCCTGTGCACTGTCTCACCAAAGTCATGTACGCTTTGGTTATCTCCTGCTTGGATTACTGCAATGTGCTCTACACGGGGTACCTTTGAAGGTGACTTGGAAACTACAACCAATCCACAATGTAGCAGCTAGACTGGTGACTGGGAGCAGCTGCCGGGACCACATAACACCAGTCCTAAAGGATCTATATTGGCTCCCAGTATGTTTCTGAGCACAATTCAAAGTGTTGGTGCTCACATTTAAAGCCCTAAACAGCCTCTGCCCCATATACCTGAAGGAGCATCTCCACCGCTATGGTTCAGCCTGGAAACTGAGGTCCAGCTCCAAGGGCTTCTGGCGGTTCCCTCACTGTGATAAGTGAAGTTACAGGGAGCCAGGCAGAGGGCCTTCTTGGTAGTGGCACCCACCCTGTGGAATGCCCTCCCATCTGATGTCAAGGTGATAAATAACTATACAACTTTTAGAAGACATCTGAAGGCAGCCCCGTACAGGGAATTTTTTAATGTTTGATGTTTTATTATGCTTTTATATTTGTTGGATTTATTATGATTAATATATTTGTAACAACAATAAAATATCCGTTCTGGGGGGATAGAAGGGTCAAGACTGAATGAGAAGTCCAACATTTCAGCCAGCATGGGTCTGACCCCTTTTTTCTTCAACTGCCGTTTATTTATATGTAAGTATCTGTTGTGTGGTGGGACGCGGGTGGCGCTGTGGGTTAAACCACAGAGCCTAGGACTTCCTGATCAGAAGGTCGGTGGTTCGAATCCCTGCAATGGGGTGAGCTCCTGTTGCTCGGTCCCAGCTCCTGCCAACCTAGCAGTTTGAAAGCACGTCAAAGTGCAAGTAGATAAATAGGTACCGCTCCGGTGGGAAGGTAAACGGCGTTTCCGTGCGCTGCTCTGGTTCGCCAGAAGCGGCTTAGTCATGCTGGTCACATGACCCGGAAGCTGTACACCGGCTCCCTGGGCCAATAAAGCGAGATGAGCGCAGCAACCCCAGAGTCGGCCACGACTGGACCTAATGGTCAGGGGTCCCTTTACCTTTACTTTATCTGTTGTGTGACTGATTTCCTACTGACTTTGCTGTCACAGTGGGTAGAAAACTATGCATCCCAAGAATTTACGGAATTATGTTTTAAAGTGATACTTCTGATAGTTCTGACTTTGTCATCAACTAATCCATCAAGACATCAATGAACTGTTGTTTTCTGAGTGTAGCACATGCTCTACTTACTATGCCATTTCCAAGGATAAGAAAGAAGTACTCTTTTGTAATAGCCTCTAAGTGCAAAGAGATAGAGCTACTCAAAGAAAATAAAACAAATCAAAGAGGCAAGATGATGTGATCTTTTTTCAGTAAGAATGAGCATGACTTTTTAGAGGTTTGTACAGAAAAGACATAGGATAATATGTTGACATTTCTATAACACATTGTGGTAGATTATATAAAAATAGCTTGTATTGGAAGTGGATTAAATTAGCAGGCATCGGAGAGTCTTACAGAAACCAGCCTATTAGGCATACCTTTTCATGCTACAATTTGTCATTTCTAGGCCAGTGCTTCCTTTGCAAAAGATAAAATTATTGCTTGCAACACTGAATCTTCAGTTCAGCAAATATGAAAAAAAATTGTTCAGTTTTAAACATATGTCAGAGTTTCTATTTCTCACTATTGGTTATTTCTGTATACCCATTTGTGTGTTTTTTGCTCTCATGCAATCAGTAAATGGTGTACTTTCCCTTAATGAGAAAATTCAACTGCCAGTCGTACATTGTTAGCTTTAAGCCAGTGTGGTGTAGTGGTTAAGAGCGGTAGTCTCGTAATCTGGGGAACCGGGTTCGCGTCTCCGCTCCTCCACATGCAGCTGCTGGGTGACCTTGGGCCAGTCACACTTCTTTGAAGTCTCAAAGCCCCACTCACCTCACAGAGTGTTTGTTGTGGGGGAGGAAGGGAAAGAAGAATGTTAGCCGCTTTGAGACTCCTGAAGGGGAGTGAAAGGCGGGATATCAAATCCAAACTCCTCCTCCTCCTCTTCTTCTTCTTCTTCTTCTTCTTCTTCTTCTTCTCATCTTTTAACTTGGACTCAATTTTTAATATTATAATCCTGATCTTTGAGGATAGTACTATTTTATTTATTTCAATATTTCAGTGTAACAGAATCTGATCACCCAGGATAAAAATTCAAAAATATGTAAGGAGAAAAAACAGAAACTATATGGGGAACAGACAGTTGCAAGTTGGATCCAAAGTTGCAAGAGTGGAAAAGGTCCCCCCAACTTGTTCAGGAACATCCCCATATCTTCCAGAAAGGCCTGGGAGGCAGAGGGAGCAGAAGATGGAGGCTTCTCCTTGTACAACTTGCCATTCACTATGTTATGCAAAAGTTACCCTTTTGCAAAGTAGTTTTGAACAGGTCAGCTGTCTTATCTTCAGAGACACAAAGATGTTTTTTGGCTGTGGACACCGAAAGAATTCGGAAAACTGTTCAACTTGAACAAGAGTTTTACTCAAAATACACCAGGAATTAAAACATATGGTATTTTCCTGTACTGCTGCTGTTGTCTCCCAGTCATAACTTCTAGTTCATTTGGAGTAACAAATCCCAGCGATGGAAAAATGTTGCCAATTTACCATCCTGCAAGACACGAATCCAATTTTCTGCCACAATGAGCATTTCATGTATCCAATTGTATTTTTAATCTACCATTTGAGAGATGTTTTTAATTTACTGTTACGTTGCTTGGATTTCCTGTATGACAGGAAAATATTGCATTGACTCATAAATGTTCATGCTTTTTGTTTCACTTGCAAACTGCACACTGCCTGTTAGCTCTGCAATAGTGACTTTTGAACAAGTTGACTTGTAAAGCAACGTACGGTTTAGCTTCATCTAATTCCGAAATGCATACCTTATTAAAGTGTCATCATCCACAATGATTAACCAAGGTGTTGCAGCAGGGCTGTGCTTTAGAAACCTTTCCAAAATGGCAAAAGTCTTCCCACAATGACCTAGACACGAAACACAAAAAAGTAAAGGAATTCAATAATTAGACATATAGTGTGATGATTATAAAAATCATTCTTAACACTTCAAAATAATCTTTGCCATGTGTTCAGATTAGGGCTGGGTTGCACCTTTATCCCCATCATTCAGATATATAAATATATGGATTTCCTGCAATAAAGAGTATGACATAATTTGGAGGCATCCCAGCCTGTCAAACTCTTGCCTGCTGCACCTTACCATGCCCCTTCAGCAGTGGGCATGGAGGGCTTGAGGAATGCAGGGAGTGGGCACAGAAGGACTCTATGCTATGGAGTAGGTGTGTATGCAAAGCTGACCATTCTTGCTCACTTTTGATATCCAGCAATTTCAAACGGGCATCTAAAACTAGGCTCAAATCACGGTGGTTCTTAGGTCTCCCTTTCTTTCCTCAATCCTTTCCAAATTTGTTTTTTCCTTGGTCCTTGGCTTCTTCCTCTCTCAGCCTCTTTACACCTATCAGCTGATTTCTCTCCTTCTTTCTTTCAAGCACCTGCCTCCTTCCACCTTTCTCCTTAGTCTTGTTCAGTCAGAAGGCAGAATTTGCAATCATGCAAACAGGTATGGGAAGAAGGAGGAAACTGGTGTCCTGAATGCTGATTTCACAAAGGCAGGCAGAGGAACAGAATGGAGGGCTGCTATTTTCACACCGCACTGATTCATGATGAATGTATGCAGCAGCAGCAGCAAAAGTAGGAGGAATTTCCCCCTCTGCACTCCCAAACTGGTAGAGCACTCGCTGGTGCAGCCTCCAACTGAATCGCGCTGTAATCAGTCCCACGAAAAGAGTCTTGTCTTTGTGCCTCCTTATCTCACTGGCAGGCTCACAGGCCACCTCGTGGGAAATAAATTAGGCAGCTCATCATCTTGTGCAAATTCTGTTATGAAAACACTGTATAACTCATGCAAAATAATATCACATCGTGTTAAAACTTACCTCTATCAGTATTTGGCACTCCTAAATCAACAGTGGGTATTGAACTTTCTGCATAATCACTGTAGTATTCAATAAGAGCGGCCTCTTTTTCCCAGGTCTGCTTTACAATGGGTACTGGGGGGAAAACAAGTATACTGACACGCTGGCAAAACAGTGCTTACAGATTTGAATTTATGGCAAACTGAAATTGGACGTCAGGGTGTTTCTCAGCTTACCAACAACTGATATTCACCCATCTTCTCTCCTCCCTTCTCAGTGCACTATGGTTACCAGTTTTTTGGAGGGTGGGGGAAGGATATGAAGCTAACTAAACTGTTCAGATGTGGTGAGACAGACATAACAGGAAATTATGGTTAAGTAATCCAAAAAGCCTTCAATCTCAGAAGAGAGGAGGGAAAGGATGGCATAATGATGGCTCATGCAGGCACAAGATTCATATCTGGGCTCCTTATGCTGAGACGTGTATATCTGAACCAGGTTATTAAGTAATAGGGTAACTGGAGGCAGCCCTGTTAGGCCAAAATTAGATGTTACGGCACATGTGGCTGCTACTGAAAGCAGCATCCCCATTTCTGCTACCCCAAACACCTAGGAATACCAAATGCATCTCATGACGTGATGGTGTCACAAGGTTCCCTTTCACTGGTTGACACCTGTGGGCAAAGAAATCTGTAATGCATTTTGCATTACTAGTGACCATCAGAGGGTAAGCAGGGAGAGAGAGATGGGCTGCTTTGTAAGCAGCCAGCTTAGATGATGGGAATGGCCCTACCCTCCTCCCTGCCAACATACTGGAGACAGATTTGTTACCAACCAGGGCTGAGCTTTTTTCCCTGTTCTGCCCCCTTGTCCTAGGAACCACTATGTCTGTGTAACACCTTCTGTTGGATAAGTATGTCTCACAGTCTCCCGCCCACTCACCTAGGCTTTTCTTGGAGGTGAGGAGAGATTCTGTTTTTCCTTGAGCAATGAAATACACTGTATGTACCATGTAAAACCCTAAGCAGGCACAAACGATTTCTCCCTCACAAAAAAGGAAGGAGACTCCTGGCACATTCAGTCTTGATCATTCAACACATCTACCAAAATTCAAGGGAGTGTCAAAACATACAGCAGAAAAACCCCCAAACCCTGTATTTTCATAGAAATAAATGCCCAACCGGCATGTTGCATGGATATAATTTTGAGCAGCTAAAAAAGGAAAAATGGCTTACCAGAAGAGCTCCTTTTTCAAAAGGAGCTCTTGAAAGCTAGCATCCATTAATTTTTCACTTTCCTGAGAAAGATTACCCTCCACTGGGTAACACTGGAAACTATGAGGAAAGTTCAAGTATTTTCCTCAGTCCTCAAGGTGTTACATGATAGTGAAAGACTGTGAATCTATAGCTTCGTTTTCAACTTGCCTTTATCATTTCGGCTAGCTGTAACATAGCAGTTTATTTTTTGTCTTGTTTTAATCAACACCATTTTTTAAAAAAAATCACAAGAACATGAACACATTTTTCTACAAACTCCAGCTGTAGGATGCTCATTTTCTTGCATAAAAAAGACAAATTGTATGCAAAAGTTAAACCCATGCAACTTTAAAGTTTGATTATTGGTAAGCATTTAGAAAGGTTATTAAACAATGCTTCATTAAAATAAGACACAAAATTAGTTGAACACTTAACCTTCTTAAGTTATGTTCTTATATTGCTGCACCGCGTAAGAGGGCAGTATATAAACTGGTATAAATAAAATAAAATAAAATTCTGAAAATGTTACAAAACCTTCCACTTTCCCCAATCACATTACTTAGGATTGTCTGAATTAATATGGGCAATGATTAAAGAAACTGAGCTATGGTTTAGAATGATGTCTGAATTGACTACAGATGGTTTGCAATTAGCCAGAAAAGTAAACTCTGGCCAGAAAGGCAAACTCAAACTGCAACCTGGGAATGTTTGTTCATTTATTTATATTTATATCCCACTCTTTCCTCCCAAGAGAGTACGTGGTTTTAACCTACCCCCAAATTTATCTTCACATTTGATCTCTGAGATAGGCTGAGAAATAGTTGGCCCAAAGTCACTCTGTGACCTTCATGACTGGATCACCACTTGAAACTGGGCCTTCCCAGTCCTACTCCAGTGATTGTAACCACACTGGTTCTGCTTGCCTTGTACACACATTATAATTTATCATTATGTGCTATTATTATATTATCATTTAGCTGCCAGGTTATCTGTCTTAAAAAAAACAGCACACCAAAAAACAAACCCCAGCTTCTATGACCTTTTATGGCTTGCCTTTATTACCCTGGACTGCTGTTTTATTCTGGGTTTAGTGGCCTTGTTTGCATGCCATGGTAAAATATAAAGCATGGCTTGCTGTGCATGAGTTAATTGCTCCAGTTTTGCTTTGCCCCGTGTCTTTTGGCTTGTGCTGGGAGGAAGCAAATTATCCCTGGAAACATCAAACAAGGGATTACTATTTGTTTCACTTCTAACGAACTACCATAGGAGCCAGCTCCTAGGGAATGAAGCCCTTTGAGGGGGCCCCAATGTGTTTCTTTGAAGGGGCCATACCTCTTCAATGTTCAGAAGGCATTTGGCTTCGCCCCCTGGCTCCTTAGGATGTCACATGACATCAGGAGGTCGCATTGGGCACCTTCAGTCAAGCTGAGAAGGTGGCACCTCTGCAAACTGCGACCTGTAAGTCAAGAACAACCCTTGGCTATAGATTGTCATTTGTTAGGAGTGAAGCAAATCACAGTTCCTGGTTTGGACAAAACAGAGTAAGCTATGGATTGTGGTTGGTTTCTCCCCAGCACAAACAGGGAGGAACAGAACCTCCTAGCTTGGAACATTTACTGCAAATCATTCACTATTATTTACTATGATGTGTGAACTAGGCCATTGTGGCATTCTTTATCTTTATGGTTTGGGGCACCATGTTCTAAGCATGGCTCCCCAAAACACATGATCACAGAGTCCCAAAACACATGGGGCTGTGATATTGCATGAGGTTGCGACCCCACATGTTTTGCCTAAAACACACATTTTGAGGCTCCTTCATCTCACATGGGTCATGTGACTCATCCAGAAGCAGGGGCATGTCCCGGATTCTAAGGTAAACATGTTGGAGTGCATGCAAATCATCGCTCAGGAAAGAATACCAGCTACCACAGTGAAAAACATTCAGGCTACGGATTCATGGCCAAACTACCAAGGGCTGCATTGAGCTAAATCAGTGAGTGCACAGAACAACTTCTGTGAGCCAACAGAACTTCAAAATTTGATTTCTGAAGATCTATTGTCATCTCTATAGCCCCTTTTTTGGTTTTGAATATTCGTTTGTTGAAATTTTAATGTTGGAAATAACTTGTGGAGAGATTATATGAAGAAGAGGGATGTAAGTAAGAATATCACTGAAGGCAGAGAAAAACACCGAAGGCTGATTTCCCTTAAAATGGGACACAGCTGGATTAGTTTGCCTTACACCCTACCAAACTAGTCACTGTTTGACATCCAAAGGATGCATGAAATACATGACAAATGTGATGAAGGAAAAATTTATGCAGCTGCCATCAATAAGAAATGCCATCTGGTCCAAAGCTGTTCTTCAATCCCAACACTTGATAAGTGAAATCTTTAATGTTTATACAGCTTGGTTCTATAACACACTTCTGTATATGAATACTTTTAGGATCGTCCTACTCTTGTGTAGGACCCTGGTAGAGACACATGCCCGACTGGCATGTTCTCTCCCTCCTGGTCAATCGTTCGGGAGCTTCTAAAGCTTTCTTCAGCCCAAACATCACAGCGACTGATACCAAGAAGCATCAGCAGACTTAGGGATTAGCAGAGTATTCGCAGTTTGTGTAACAGAACTCAGTAGCACAGCATTTTGGCTAATCTACGTTTATTTACATATAATACACTCGGAGCATTCTGACTTAGCTCCTTTCTCTTTCTCATCACACAGCAAAGAGAAAAAGAACAAAGGCCAATAGTCCCACTTCATGGAACACGGTAACACAAACATCCTGTCTCCGTCACTTCCCACTATGTGGAATGAAAACATACACCGTCATGTGATAGACAACAATCCCATGATTGCAAACACGGAGCAAGAATCCTAACATATAGAAGAAAAGGCCTAGGAATACACCCTACACAAATCTGGACTTTCTAGAATAGTTGGATGGAGACTTTACACCTCCTTCCGAAAACTCCTGCGGCCAAGCAGGTACCAAATGTATTGCTCTGTTTTCCTTTGGATTACATTGGTGAGACTGGGGGCGGGGAGGGGATTGGTTGTCTGGGCAGCCCAGGACCTCCATATGCACTTCAGTGCAGCTAACACAGCAACAATACAAGAGGTAGCAGTTATGAGTTACCAGTCTCTGCAGCCACAGCAGGCTCTGTGATCCTCCAGCAGTTTGACTTCAACCCCACAGGCACAGTCCATTGCCTCTCGAGGCAGACAGAGGCCAACAACATTACAGTGGTGCACTGCAAGACGAATGCCTCGCAAGACGAAAAACTCGCAAGACGAAAGGGTTTTTTGTTTTTTGAGTCGTTCCACAAGATGAATTTCCCTATGGGCTTGCTTCGCAAGAGGAAACGTCTTGCGAGTTCTTGCGAGTTTGTTTCCTTTTTCTTAAAGCCGCTAAGCCGTTAATAGCCGCTAAGCCGTTAATAGCCGCTAAGCCGTTAATAGCCGTGCTTCGCAAGATGAAAAAACCGCAAGACGAAGAGACTCGCAGAACGGATTAATTTCGTCTTGCGAGGCACCACTGTAACTTACATCAGTAATTGTGAAAGAAAAAATCATTCAGCTAGCAATACAATGTCAGTAGTAAATATTTCCCCCTGAAATTGTTAGGGAAATCCTGTTATTACCTTTTTTTTTGAAGGATGACAATAAAGTACAAATGTATATTAGGGAAAAAATATATGGTGAATTTTCCAAGGTTTGTTTTTTAGGTATGCTGGTCCCCTATGGTTTTCTTTCAGTGTCACATGTTCAATGCATCTCAAAAATGAAACATCTCTATTTTATAGATGTAAACCATCATCACTTTCACATACAGATTGATGCAGAATGTCTGAAATGTACTTCCCCCCTGC